TTTTTCCCATTTTTCCCATTTTTCCCCATTTTCACCTCATCCTGGGTCTGCCCCCGGGTCAGGAGGTTCCATTTTTCCCATTTTTCCCGAATTTTCCCATTTTTCCACCTCATCCTGGGTCTGTCCCCGGGTCAGGAGGTTCCATTTTTTTCCCATTTTTCCCATTTTTTTCCCATTTTTCCCATTTTTCCCCATTTTTCCCAGTTTTTCACCTCATCCTGTGTTTGCCCCCGGGTCAGGAGGTTCCATTTTTCCCTGAATTTTCCCATTTTTTCCCATTTTTTCCAATTTTTTCACCTCATCCTGTGTTTGTCCCCGGGTCAGGAGGTTTCTGCAGCTCAAGGGGACGTCGTTGATCTCCACCTCGGCCACCACCAGATCATCTTTGCTCTTCCCGGGCACGGAGCCTTTGCCCACTGCCTGCAGCTGCAATTAATGACAATTAATTAAATATTAATAGAAATTAATAAAAAATTAATAGAGATTAATAGGAATTAATAAAGATTAATAAGGATTAATAAGGATTAATAGGGGCTAATAAAAGATTAATAGAGATTAATAAGGACTAATAAAGATTAATAAAAGATTAATAAAAGATTAATAGAGATTAATAAGAATTAATATTAATAAAGATTAGTAGAAATTAATAAGGATTAATAAAAGATTAATAAATGATTAGTAGAGATTAATAGAGATTATTAGACTAAGATTAATAAGGATTAATAAGGTTAATAAAAGATTAATAGAAATTAATATGGATTAATAGATATTAATAAGGATTAATAGGGATTAATAAAAAATTAATAGATATTAATAGGATTGTTTAAAAAATTAATAGAGATTAATACAGATTAATAAAAGATTAATAGAGATTAATAAGAAGTAACAGCAGTCAATAATAGAGACCAATAAGAATTAATAGAAATAAGTAGGGGGTAATAAGAAATTAATAGCTATTAATAGGGATCAATAGGAATTAATAAAAGATTAACAGAGATTAATAAGGATTAATAGGGGTTAATAGGTATTAATAAAACATTAATAATTTCCAGTTCAAACCCCAATAAATTTCCAGTTTAACACCGAAATTCCAGTTTAAGTCCAAATAAATTTCCAGTTCAATCCCAAATAAACTTTAACACCCAATTTCCAGTTTAAGCCCAAACTTCCAGCTCAAAACCCAACAGATTTCCAGTTTAACCACAAATTTCCAGTTTAAAACCCAAATAAACTTTCAGTTTAAGACCGAATTTCCAGTTTAAAACCCAATAAATTTCCAGTTTAACACCAAATAAATTCCCAGTTTAAGCCTAAATTCCCAGTTCAAAACCCAAATAAATTCCCAGTTCAAAATACAATAAATTCCCAGTTTAACACCGAATTAATTCCCAGTTTAACTCCAAATTTCCAGTTTAAGTCCAAATAAATTTCCAGTTCAATCCCAAATAAATTTTCAGTTTAAGACCGAATTTCCAGATTAAAATTTTCAATTTAAAACCAAGTTCCCAGTTCAAAATTACCAATTTAACCCCAAATTTCCAGTTTAGGCCCAAATTTCCAGTTTAACACGCAATAAATTTCCACATTAACCCCAAATTTCCCTTTAAAGCCCAAATTCCCAGTTTAACATGCAATAAATTTCCACTTTAAGCCCAAATTTCCCTTCTAAACCCAAATTTCCACTTCAAAACCCAATAAATTTTCAGTTTAACCCCACATTCCCAGTTCAAAATTACCAATTTAATCCAAATTTCCAGTTTAACACCAAATAAATTTCCAGTTCAACACCAAATTCCCAGTTCAACACTGAATTAATTCCCAGTTTAACCCCAACAAATCCCCAGTTTAAGCCCACGTTTAACCACTTGCACCCTTTCCCATCATTTCAAACATTGGAATATTGAACATTTCAAATATTCTGCAAAAAACCTTTTGAGCTCTTCAAAAAATGCAATAACAAAAATAATAAAAACGTAATAATAATAATAAAATACATGAATTAACATATACTAATAATAATACACTAATAAAAACAAAATGATAAAAACAGAATAAAAATATTGTAATAAAAATATAAAAAAAAATTAAAATACAATAAAAATATAATAATGAAAATACAACACTAAAAATACAATAAGAATATGATGTAAATATAACAATAATGAAAATATAATAATAAAGACTAATAATAAAAAGTAATAATAATGATAATAGATATAATTTCTATAAAATGATAATTTTTAGCCAGATTTTCGGTACTTTCTAGGTGGTTTTATGTGGGGCTCACCTTGTCGCTGTTGCCGGGCGCGGGTTTCAGTTTCCCCTTTGCCATCAGCATCGCGTTGATTTTGGCCGCCACCGCCGCGGCCGCGTCCAGCGCTCCTGAGGGGGCGGCGGCGCTGCCGGAGCCGCGCGGGCCGGGGGAGCCATCGGGGAACGGCCCCGGCAGCAGCAGCGCCCCCGCGGGGCCCGGCTGGTCCCATTTGCTGCGGCGCCTGCAAGAGAACGGAACGTGAGCGCTCTGAGAGCACCGGCCGTGGCGGAACCGCCGCTGTCCCGCCGCTCACCCGCCCGCGGTGCCCGAGTCCCGCGGAGCTCCGCCGCCCGCCGACATGGCCGCCAGCGCTCCCGCCGCCACTTCCGGCTGCCCGCCCGCCGCGCCACGCCGCTTCCGGGGTTGCCATGGAGATGGGATGGGAACTTCCGGATGCTGCCATAGAGACGGCGGCGCTCTTTCCGGTCACAGCCATAGAGACGGGATGGGCACTTCCGGTCACGGCCATAGAGACGGGACAGGCACTTCCGGCTGCTGTCATAGACACGGAGCCGCTCCCTTTTGGCCACAACCATAGAGACGGGATGGGCACTTCCGCCTGCTGCCATAGAGACGGTGCCGCTCTTTCCCGTCACTGCCATAGAGACAGCGGCGCTCTTTCCGGTCACAGCCATAGAGACGATGGCGCTCTTTCCGACCGCTGCCATAGAGACGGGATGGGCACTTCCGGCTGCTGCCATAGAGATGGCGGCGCTCTTTCCGGTCACAGCCATAGAGACGGGATCGGCACTTCCGGATGCTGTCACAGAGACGGGATCGGCACTTCCGGCTGATGCCATAGAGACGGTGCCGTCCTTTCCGGTCACGGCCATAGAGACGACGGCGCTCTTTCCGGTCATGGCCATAGAGATGGGACGGCCTGTTCCGGTCACGGCCATAGCGACGGCGAGGCCACTTCCACCTGTTGCCATGGAAATGGAGCCGCTCCTTTCTGGCCACAACCATGGAGACGGCGAGGCCTCTTCTGCCCGTTGCCATAGAGACGGCGGCTCTCATTCCGGCCACGGCCATAGAAACGGTGAGGTCCGTTTCCGGTCATTGCCATAGAGACGGCAAAGCCCTTTCCGCTGTTGCTATGGCGACGGCGGGTCGCTTTCCGCCCGCTGCCATAGAGATGGTGCCGCTCTTTCCGCCTGTTGCCATGGAAATGGAGCCGCTCCCTTCTGGCCACAACCATAGAGACGGCGAGGCCTCTTCTGCCTGTTGCCATRGAGACAGTGCCGCTCTTTCCAGTCACGGCCATAGAGACGGTGCAGCACTTCCGGCCGCTGCCATAGAGACGGCACCGCCTTTTCCGCCCGTTGCTATGGAAATGGCCTCGCTCTTTCCGGCCACTGGCATAGAGACGGCGAGGCCATCCCCGCCCGTTGCCATGGAGACGATGCCGCTCTTTCCGGTCCCGGCCATAGAGACGGGACGGGCACTTCCGGCTCCTGCCACGGAGACGGTGCCGCTCTTTCCGGTCATGGCCATAGAGACGGGACGGGCACTTCCGGCTCCTGCCACGGAGACGGAGTCGCTCTTTCCGGCCATGGCCATAGAGACGGCGGCGCTCTTTCCGCCTGTTGCCATGGAAATGGAGCCGCTCCCTTCTAGCCACAACCATAGAGACGGCGAGGCCTCTTCTGCCTGTTACCATGGAGACGGCGCCGCTCTTTCCGGTCACGGCCATAGAGACGGGATGGGCACTTCCGGCTGCTGCCATAGAGACGGCGGCGCTTGTTCCGGTCACTGCTATACAGACGGTGCCGCTCTTTCCGGCCACGACCATAGAGACGGGATGGGCACTTCCGGCCACGGCCATAGAGACGGTGCCGCTCTTTCCGGTCACGGCCATAGAGACGGCGGCGCTCTTTCCGGCTGCTGCCATAGAGACGGCGAGGTCCCTTCCGCCCCCTCCATCCCCTCAGTCCCCTCATTCCCCATTTCCGGTTCCGGTGTTTTCGCGCGCTCCGGTTCCGGTTCCGGTTCCGCTCTCCCCTCAGCCCCGCCATGGCGCTGGCGCTGAAGGCGCTCCCGTGCAAAAAGCGCCGAGCGGCGGCTCCGCTCAGCCCCCGGCACCGCGGGGAGGACGCGGAACTGCCCGGGGGCTCCGCCGATGGCACCGCCAGGACCGCGGGGAGAGGCTCCGGGGATGCTTCACCGAAAAGCGGCAGGAAAACARCGGGGAGAGCGGGCTCGGGATCCGGGCTGGAGATCCCCGCGGGGCCCGGCAGCCCGGCCGAGGTGGAAGGTACGGGAACGGGAGGCGGATTTGGCATGTGGCATTTTCTGGTGGTGTTTTTATAGAGTTTATTTTTTGGTGTTTGCTTTGAGGTGATTATTTTGAGGTGTTTGTTCCTGCCCAGGAAAGGCTGAGAGGGGCCCTCAGTCCTGGGTGGCTCTGGGTGCTGGGAGAGCTCCTGTGAAACCATCCCGAAAACATCCCAAAGTTGTCCCAAAAACATCCCAAAACCATCCCAAAAACATCCCAAAATTGTCCCAAAAGCATTTCAAAAACTACCCTGAAAACATCCCAAAAACTACCCCAAAAACATCTCAAAAACATCCCAAAATTGTCCGAAAAACATCTCAAAACATACAAGGAACTATCCTGAAACTGTCCCAAAAACTGTCTCAAAAATGATCCCAAAACTGTCTCAAAAACCGTTCCAAAACCATCCCAAAGCCATTCCAATACTATCCCTGAAACCATTCCAAAACCATTCAAAAACAATCCCAAATCATCTCAAAACCATCCCAAAAGCATCCCCAGAACCATCCCCAAAAGCTGTCCCAAAAATGATCCCAAAACCATCCCAAAACCAACTCCGAAACCATTCAAAAACCATCCCAAAACCAACTTCGAAACCATTCAAAAACCATCCCAAAATTATCTCAAAACCATCCCAAAACCAACTCCGAAACCATTCAAAAACCATCCCAAAATCATCTCAAAACCATCTCAAAACCGTCGCCAAAAACTGTCCCAAAAATGATCCCAAAACTGTCTCAAAAACCGTTCCAAAACCATCCCCAAAAAATATCCCAAAAC